GGTCCTTTTCTAGCAGCCGAGTCACAGTGATGGGCCACGAGGTCTCCAGGGCACGGACTGAGTCGTGTGCTGGGATGGAGGAACCAGAGGGAGAGGTGACCGTAATGCACGCAGGTGGTGTTCTTCCTCTCCAGGCCGCGAACGCGGGGTGGTTCTTACCAGAGGCCAAAATCTCAGGTGCCTCTCGGGGCCAACTGTGTTCCATGAATGAGTGACAGCTCTGTTGCAGGAGGGCAGCCCCTGCTCTGTGCCAGCTGGTTGTCACCAGGTGGGAATGTGCAGTGTGACCTTATCGTCCTGTTTTTCAGGATGAGTTGGAAGAAAATATTTTTGTGAAATCTTTAAATTTTCAACGATTGACATTTTTTTTTAAAAAAAAAGTGCTGTTTAAGTCAAACCTGTTGAGGGGCCAGGTTCAGCCCTCAGTTGGCCAGGCCGGAACCCGGCTGCTGGAGTTAGATGGAACTGGGACCAGGTCTCAGCTCCGGTCCTTATTATTTGGTGACTCGGGATAAAGCTCGGCTTCCTTTTCTGCCCAATGGAGACGGAGACGGCGGCTGCTTCGTTGGTTGGTTTTCAGGTGAATTGAAGGAGGCCCACAGAGCCTTGAGCCCGGTGGCCAGTACCTAGGGTTAGCGCTAGTTTAAGAAGTGGCTGGGGCCTCCCAACGTGGGGACAGAATTCCAGACTATCCGACAAAGTGAGGCTCCCTGGAGTCCACACAGTGATGGACCGCAGCTCCTTCAGTCCATCTTCTCTATCCCCACGCATCCACGTTGGCAAACATTCTGAGCCAGCCTCGTCCCCAAGAGCTATCCGCGACAAACCATCTCCTCCCTCCTCAATTGCAGCCCAGGCCCATACCAATAAATGGGGCTTGTCTCTGTCCTATTTTGAGGGAGAAGTGGATCAGGGCCAAGTCCTTCTGAAGAGGCCCCTGGTGAGTTCCGGATTCCCTAGGGAGTCTTCTCCGTCTGCGTACCCTGTCACCAGAGGATACTGTCTACATAAAAGGTGACAATGTCAGGACTGCGTCAGGTGGGCTAGATAATCAGAAATGACCATGATTTGATGGGGAAAATGAAATGCACTTTTGTCATCACAAACAAGCGACTGGCTGGGTTTTGTCCTGTGTTTTATGTATTTGGGGGGTGGAGGCATGGCTCTACCCATTCATCAAGTGCCATTCCCAGCCCCATGGAGGGGCTGCCCCTCGAGGGGGACATTGTCCCCCAGGGCTCTCTCCTTCCTCGTTGCCGCACAACCTCCGACCAGTGTATCTCACTTTGCATAAAAACCGACAAAATAGTTGAGACCTTCCATTCCCTTTGTCTTATATACTAGATCCAAAAGAAAGTCCTCAAAGTACCTGTCCCACCCCCTCTGCCCTTAAGTCTGCTCCATTCACTTAGTAAATACTTCTGAGGACCTACTATGTGTCCGGCTTTTGAGGAAGGTGGATGAAAAGATGCTACTGTCTTCTCGCCATAGGATCCCAAACCAGCAGGGAACAGGCAAGCAGACAGTCAGAGCTCATTAATTTCCTAATGTTTCTCCTCTCTCCACTTGAAGAAAAAAATGAGTGGAGTCAGGAGAAGATTACACGGAGGAAATTAAGGGAAAGGAAAATTAATATAAGCAAGTAAGGGGAAGTCAGAAAAGATCAGTGTCCACCATGCAGACACTGAACAGGCTGATGGCGCCTGCACACTGAGCACTGAGCTTCCTGGTAGCCAGTGCAAGGAGAAAACTAAGAAGCTACAGGACAATTTGGTCTGGTCAGTGGAGGAGGAGAGGCATGTGATCCTGCAGAAGTGTGGAGAAGACGTCTTAGAGATCCTGTCTGATGTGAATCCAAAGCACACGCGGGAGTCATGCACATGGATGAGGCCAATGTGGGCAGACACACCAAGTTCAAAGGCCTGGAGACGGTGAAGCGCAGCAGCCTCAGGCTAGAGAGCAGAGCTCGGGAGGCCCTGATGCCTGCCATCTCCCTTTACTTGCTGAGGCTGGTGAATGCGAAATCACAGAGGGAGTCCTGCCAGCAGTCTGTCCTTGCAGCTCCCGCAGCAAGTCACTGAAAAAGGTGAAATTCAGCAAGAACGGCCTTGGCTGCGGGAGAAAAGCACATTCTGAAAGTCTGGAATTTTCTTTTGGTTCCAGGCTTGGCAGCGTCAGGAGTACACGAGAATCGATTCCGAGGTGAATGCCTGCTGGTGGAGGAGCATTACCAATGAGAGCAAGCCCTGGCCCTCCTGCCCCTCCACCCTCCAGATGGCAGATGGTCATCACCAAGGCCACAGCTGCCTGGGCTCCACTGACTCACTGGCTACCCTGGGAGTCCTCTGACCACACCCCTGCGGCCCTGAACAGATGCCCAGGGCTGACCCTGTGGAGAAGCTCTTCGCCCTGCTCACTGCCCCATCTTACCACCAGACAGCCGATCGACCCACGGTGTGCCCCTGGGCTGGGCACGGCGCTGAAGGCAGACCCCGGGGGCCTCGGAAGACCCACATTGTTGGTCATGTCCCAGGAGATCTGCAGGCAGAAGGTCTACTGGTGTCACCTGCAGAGTCGGGAGGGAGGCAGAGTGGCCGAGGGAGGGGTGAAGAACAGCGCCCTGCGGTTCTCTGCTGCTCCCGAAGGGGCAGGAGAGGCCTTTCAGAGAAGTCCCAGGGTGAAGCCGGGGCCAGACCTGGGTGCCCCACACTGACCGGTTGTTCCCCGAGAAGGGGACCCAACCTTGAACATGGCAGACCTTCCTCGGGCTGGGCCAGGGTGAGCTGTTGGCCGCTGGCCTTCCTGGCAGCTAGGGGAACGAATGCACCTGCGCACCACGCAGAGGAGATGAGCTCTCAGAGTACAGAGGAGAGCTGCAGGGCCAGGCAGGGAGCGGGCATCTGATGTCGGCGGTGAAGACAGCCCCCCAGCTGGGTGACGGAGTGGCCAAGGGCCAGCTCAGCAGCGGGAGACCAATTAGGAGGCTCCCGGAGACATCTCAGCCAGAAGGAGGGCGAGGTGGTGGGAACGGACGGGTGGACGGGTTGGACCAGCAGGACGTGACGGATGGCTGGCTGGGAGAGGGGAGGACTCTGGATTGGCTCCTGGGTGGATCAGGAGATCAGAACACTCTGTGTCCCATCTGGGCAGAGGGAGGCTGAGGCCCGTCCAAGAGGAGACGTCCTGGGGCTTGAGTGTGCGGCTGGCGAGAACAGTCCAGGCTGGAGGCACGAACAGAAGGAAGGGAAAATGGAACGGGCGCGGGCAGGTCCAGATGCTGGACCCCAGGGTTTTTGCAAAGGAAACAGCAGGAGAGGAAGGTAAATACGAAGCCCTCCCCACGGGGCACGGCACTTCACAGTTTGCAAACGTCCTTTATTCCATTATGTAAATGGTTCTCCGAGGAATGGAGGGAGTTTCCTTCATGGGTCCTGGCAGTGGGCCTTGGGTTCTACGATGTCCTCCGTAATTCCCACCGTGGGCCTGAGACATAAGCCCTGTGACTCTGCTTTAGAATGAGGGGAACCGAGACCTGGGGACGGCAATGACTTTTCCACGGTCTAAACACAGAGCTTGCAACCTAGATCCCTCTGATTCCCAGGCGGGTCTCTGCACTCCATGATCCTCTCTCTCCTGTGCCTCAATACTCTCAGGTAGAAGAGGGGAGCCTGAGCTCCGTGCCTAAACAGCATGGTGCACCCCTCATGGGGCTCCAGCTGCCCCCTCCTCAGCACAGCGTGACGGCAGAGCTCTTCTGTTCAGGCTGGTCTAGGGGGAAAAATGGGACTTTCCGCATTGACCTTAAATACCCCTGAATGTGAATGGTCGGTGGGTGTCCCTGGGTGGGGGTGGAGGTAAATATGTGAAGGAGATCAAGAAGCTGTGTCCAGAGAAGAAAAAGCAAAACCCAGAAAAGCTAGATTCGAATCACTTCTTGAATCTTAAGTCTGAGAGAGTGAACTAGTGGAAAGGACTCGTAATTCACGAACATATGCAGAATCTCAAAATCTTCTCATGTTAATGGATGGCTGTGTTAAAAAAATATATTTCTGAACCAGTTTGTGGCATATGGTTCGCAGACAGAAAGAGAAAGGATGGGCAGGGGACATGGAATTCATTAAAATGATAAGCATTCCTCCTTGTCTTATGCTTATGAGTTGAGAGAGAGCCGTTCACTCTTCAAGGCCGATGCCTCGCTCCTGTGATGGGTGAGCCTCCTGGGTGCCAGGTACCACACTAAGCACTGAGGACCCATTAGTGCACAAAAGCCCGCCCACCCCAGAAAGTACGTGGGGGGGGGGGACGACACACAGGGCTCCTGGTGTTAGGCCACAGGCATGAGCAGCGGAGATGGAATTCATTGAGGACTCAGGGCCCAGAATTCCCTTCCTGGTCCTGTTGCTAAGGAGCAGCCCCTCTCTCGCGGGAAGACTACCCCACCTTTCCATCTCCCCACCTCCCCATCCACGAAGCAGGAACACGGGCTCCTCCCTCCTCGTGCACCCAGCTGTCCTGCCACTCAGTCCGCCTGAAAGACAGACTGCTGTTCCCCAGGGTGCAGAACACCCAACCGGCTGCCCTCCTGCCCCCTGGGACCACTTCCGGCTCCTGCGGAAGCTGTGGCTACAGCGGCCACCGGTGCTCCTGCTTCCTGCTCCACGTCTCCTCCTCCTCCTCCTCCTCCTCTCTCCTCCCTTCTCCTACTAACCCAGCCACCACCACGAGGACTCTCTCCACTCTGCCGCTGCTCCCACTGTCCAGCTCCGGCTGCCCCCTGACCACATGGCAGGCCACCGTCACTCTCGGCTTCCATGACCCCGGCTCTTGGTGCTGCTCTTCCTTCTGCAGACACACCTTCTCGACTTCCTCCACCCCATTCACCTCCATCCCAAGGCAGGGACACTTGCTTGTCCTTCCTCGGTGATGACAAGGACTCCCCCCACTACTCTGTATAATCAGAATGCACCAATTAAAAAGAACGAAAAGCAAAAACAACCCCCTCCGTGGTGGTAAAGTCTGTATTTTGATGAGTCCATATTGGTGGCATTCCATTCAGGCCATTTTTTTCCTCTTTGCACGTGTTTTTGGGTGCGTTATAGCCGTACACAATCATGGGGTCCGTTGTTACATGTTTGTACATGCACATGGTATAACGATATCATTTGGCCAATATCATTCCCTAGCACTTCCCTGTTGGGATATTTTGGGCTTAATTTCTCTGTGTTTTAGATAAAACTGGTTTCCTAATATCTGCAGCTGGGTGTCTCTTTGACAAAAACTGGACTTTTGGCCTCCTCTTCGGAAGCCAACCCCCAATACCATGTGTCTTCATCTGCAGGAAGTGGTACCGCGACTTCCGCTGTCATCTCTCAGTAAACCTGGCAGTCACCTTTCACACTCCTTCTCCCTCGCTCCCTCACATGCGCTTTCTCCCCAGTTCCTAGATCTTCCTTTCTAAATGTACCCTGAACATGCTCACTTCTCCCCATGGCCCCTCCCCTGTCCAGAGACGGTTCCTCATCTCCTAGGATCCCTGTTGACTCGCGCCTCCTCTGTTTAATTCACCAGTTTTAAAAAGATCTTTCATGCCTCCCTCTTCTTATTCTTAAAGAAAGTCCAAAATCCACAGCATGGCCCACAGGGTCTTATGCGTCCTGTTTCCTCCACGGGAATGCTCCTCCTGTCTCCCCACCCACCTAGATCTTATTCATTTTGCGAACTTCACCTTAAATGTCACTTCCTGAAACCTCTGGCCTAGACTCGCTGCCCTCTCTGCCATCCCAGTGCACCCTGAACTTTTCCTTGTACCTACATTTATTAATGAAATCATTTGTTAAAAGACTGTCTCCCTCGCTCGACCTCGAAGGTCAGGACATGCCTGCACTCACGGTGCCAGGAACAGGAGCTGGCGCGCAGCGCGCATTCAGGGAATGCGAGTCACCCCCGACAGGGCGGCACAGCTACTTGCCCTCTGGGTACTTCAGATCCCTGATGTCAGCAACCTGTTCTGTGGGATTCTTTAATTTATTAAAGTCGCTGTTCTACTTTCTTGAACCTAGCTCTTTTGAGTTTGGGGTCTGTAGACCCCCAAATCACAACTTACCAGACATACCAGACTCTAATACCCTCAGCTCTGAGGTGTTTCCGTCAGCTCCTGCACCTCTGAGACCAAAAGACCTGACAAGGACAACCCGGAGGAGGAACAGTGTATCTGGGTTCATGGTTTCAGAGGTCTCACTCCATGGAGGCGGACTCCATCGCTCTGGGCCAGGGTGAGGCAGAGCGTCGTGGCAGAGGGGTGTGGATGTGCAACCAGGTGTGGGTGTGCCTAGGACGGGGCATCGCCACTCGCCAAGGACAAAATACAGATCCAGTGCCCACTTCCGCTGTCCACACCTGTTTTAGTCGCTTTTCCAGTGCTGTGACTAAGGGCCGGACCAGCACAGTTATAGAGGGGGAAGGGTCTATCTGAGGGCTCACAGTTCAGAGATCTTGTTCCACAGAAGGCCGGCTCCATTCCTCGGGGCTCCAGACGCGGCTGGGCATCATGGCGGAGTGTGTGGCAGAGGGAGGCAGCTCACTTCAAGGTGATCAGGAAGCAGAGAGAGACTGACTCCACTCTCCAGATACAAATATATACCCCCCAGCCACACCCCAGTGCCCACCCCTCCAGTCACCCCTCAGTTGACCCCGCTCGGGGACCAAACCACTGATAGGGTGAAGACTCTCACGACCATCATTGCTCCTCTGAACCCTCCTGCAGGTGTCACAGGTGAGCTTTTGGGGGACACCTCACATTCAAACCATGACACCCCACCTGCCTACAGTCATGACCGCCATTCATCCCTTCATGTGGATCCATCCACGGATTAGGGCACAGCTCCCATGAGCCAATCATCTTACCTCTGAATGTTCTTGCAGCGTCTCACACAGAGTCTGGGGGGCACCTCCTATCTCAACAATAACACAAGGCAATACGGACACCCCGAATACGTCAGGAAACAGTAAAAGCCCCTGTCCTGTTACTACCATCTGAAGCACGGGCAGCTCAGGCAGTTTCTGAACACGTGTCAGGGGAAGGGCCGTCAGCGTGTCCCAGTCTGTTTCTTGTTTTTAAATGTTTCTCTGGAGCTTCCTTGACCTGATTGCCCTGAGATGGTAGAAGGGCCCTTGTGAGATACCGTCGGCCCTGGGGTACCTTGTGACTGACAGCTCTTTGCAGATAAGGACCAGCATCCATCGTCCAAGTAGCTCCTAAGGGCTTCTGCCAAGAAAAGAGAGGCTCAGGGGAGCAGGAATCGAAAATAACTGAATTTACACCAAACAACACACGCACGCACGCCCAGGCAGTCTCACCAATACCCCTAGAAGAGGTTAGATGCTGAGCTGCAGAGATCAAATCCTCAAGAGTATTTCAGAAATAATTGCATTAGAGCAGGCGTGTTGGGTCTGGGCCCTTGAAGACAAAATGGACCTCACCCAATCACACACCCTCATCCATAAACAGCTGTCACCAACTCGGAGGAAACAGTCTGTATTTATAGAAGCCTTGTTCTCCCCGACAGGACTCTCCACTCCCCAGAGGGGTTTTTCTTTCCCCAGAGAATGGCCTTGGGCTTGCAGTGTCTGGGAAGCAGCAGGAAGATGGGCGAAGCTCCTTCAAACCCCCTCCCTTCTGTGCACGCAGACCCACGATCTTGTCCTTTGTCCCCTTGGCCCCCGCAGAGGGGTCTCCTGCAGATGGATCATGCTCTCTGTGATACAGATGCCATCTCTGTTGCTGCCACAGAACGTCTCTTGGGTTCTTAGATAATATTGAGAACACGGGGCAGCCGAGCCTGCGTAGCTGCGGATGGACTGACCTCTCGGTACCTCCTAAAACCAGAGGCTGAGGGTGCTCCTTCTCCAGCAAGACCAAGAGAATAAGGAACCCAATGCCAATTACGCAAAAAGCGTTTCCCAAGGTTCAATCAGTATTCTAAGCACCTGACAAGCTTTAATTTCATTTAAATTTGTAAGAACCTTGCAGTGATGCGTGGATGTTGTTATCATTGTGCTAGTAGGGAGACCAAGGTTCAGAGTGGTTGATTAACTTGCCTCTCGTTGCCAGCAAATGACAAAGCTTTCTTGGAACACACGCGTTGATTTCAAAACTCAGGAGGCCTTAAAAGTATTAAAAAAATGATGACTGGCATTTTATGTTCATTGTACCCTGCACCTGTGGCTAAGATCGGTGTTTAACATGCTTTCTCTCTCTTCTTTTCTGCAAGTATTCCAGGAAACAGGCACTACTATACCCATTTTAGACATGAGGTTGCTGAGGTCCAGGACAGCTAAGTATCTGGCCCAAGGATTCGCGGCAGGAAAGCGGAGAAGCGGGAACTTCAACCCAGGTCTTCTGAGCCCAGAGTCTAAATTCTTAACTCAGCACTCTGGAAACGTCTACAAAGGTCTCATACATGGATTCTGGACCAGATTGAGCCATAACCTCCAAATAGCTCACCATACAGCCCCATTTAAATTCTACTAAATGGGGATGCTGAGTTTCATTCTGCATGTTGGACAAGATGGGGCCAGACGGCATGGAGTACCTTGGACAGCGCCCAGCGGGAGGAAGACCTGTGTGCTGGGTGAAGGTTGAATGATGTTACTTTACATGAACATATTTATTTCAATGCCAAAGAACTCTGCTGATAAAAAAAGAAGCAGCAGCAGCAATAGATCAACAGATAACACAGGGAAGGAGGGAGGGAGGGAGGGAGGAGGGAGAGAGGAGAAAGAAGAAGGCCCCACTTCCTTATGCACGGGATGGGGATGGCTGAGGTTAACACACGAGGCCTGGTTCCACACCCTTGAGCCCCCTAGTCATTCCCCAGCTCTGTCTTTGGGTACATCACACCCCCTCTCTGGGACTTGGTTTCCCCAGTTCTAACCTGGGAAATTTGATTTACCCTCTGTGAGCCTCAATCTCCTCAACTGAGAGCTGGAAACAATATCAGCCATTTTGAAGGGTTGGAAGAGCACAGCGGGCGTGGCGCGTGGGTGTAAAACCCAAGGTCTGCCCGGGGAGACCCCGCCTGCGGGCTCAGGAGCAGCTTCCCTTTCGATGCCTGTGACTCCCAGTAAGGGTGGAAGCAGCCCTAAGACCTGTCTGCATATGAAGACGTGTCACCTGACGCCCTCAGCTTGCCTGCGGGAGCAATCCAAAGGCTTCAGATAATTGTCTCGATAGAACCAATTCAGAGAAAGTACATTACAGGAGGCAAGAAAATTGCCTAATCCTGGTGCTGCTGAGTCCCCAATTTGCAGAAGCTCAGAATCAAAATAATGAGAAAATAAGCACCAGGGCCATTCCAGGGCCGGCTCCCCGGGCAGCCTGGCTGCTGCTCACTCACCCACCTCCGCCTCTGGGGCAGAGGGTCCTCTGGCCGCCTGGGTGCAGCCCCAGGTCAGAGGAGGCTGAAATAGAGAGACAGGGGCACACAAGGGACACAGCAAGGAGTCCCCAGGGGGCTGCAGGGCTGCAAGTGGCGGCTCCGCCTCCCACCAGCCTTGTGACCCCACAGAGGTCCTCTGCCACTCGGGCATCCTCAGGAAGGGGTCACTGGGTGAGGGTGACTGAGCCCCAGCACAGCAGGGGCCCATGGCACAGTGAGTAAAAGCAGGGACCCCAAGTGCACACCCTGCTCCACCCCTCATTAGCCATGTAAAGCTGGGCAAGCCGTTGAACTTGAACTTGAACTTGAACTCCCCGGTGCCTGTTTCCTCCCCTGGAGGGAACGGTGGTACCTACCAACGGAGGGGATTCAGGAGAAAATGCCGACACACAACGGAGCAGAAGGTCTTGAGTTGTACCTGTAACTGTCTGCGCTCTGTGACCATTTAATCTGTCTGAATTCCAAGTACCGAGGGCTCCTCCCTCAGGTCGGTTCCATTACAGTTGCTCAACCTGACGACGGTGTGAAACTGACCGAGTTCAGCAGAGACCACACTCTGAATTTTGAATCTGATCTTGCCCCAGGCCAGCCTCGTGCAGGCCATCCTCCCTCCTGGTGCTGGGCCGTGGCCGCAGCCATAGCACCAAATCAGCCCATGACCACAGAGACGACCGAGGGCTATCCCACCACGCACCGTGACCCTGGCGGGGCGGGTGTGCCCCATGCGTGTTCAGCTGATGATGTTCTGACCTGGCCATGGATTTACCGGGATGTGACTCCTTTGCACATCAGCCAGGTTCACCTACACTTTAAACAAGCCCGGAGATCAGATCTGCATGGGTTTGATCCTAAGCACTGCCACTTCTCAGCTCGGGGGACACCCAGGGACTGTGCCTTCCTCGTCTACAGAAGCTGGGGACGGTGTTACCTCGGGAGGCTGCTCATCTCCGGGAGCCCCGGGTCAGGGCCACAGTGGTGCTCAGCAGAGCATGCTCTTCAGAGAGTGGCTGCCTGGGGCCATTCTGCCTCCTAAGTGAGGTCCCATGGCCAGAGGACCCACTCTGAGCAGCACTGGGGTGGGGCTCGGCAGGTCAATGACAGGGGGAGGGCCAGAGCCCCTGGGTTTCAGGAGGTACCCGAGTGCATGCTGGGTCTGCAGCTCCGTTCAGCAAACATCTGTTTGTGCCGACTGTGTGCCTGGGGTGCTCAGGCACAGAGCACAGGGAGCCACCCGGGTCCCCAGAGCTTGCGGCAGCTAGAGGAGCGCAGGCGTGCACTGAACGTCCGTGAGGTGCCCGGAGCCCTGCTTGGCAATTTATGTATTTTTCACCCTCTGAATTCCTGTGCCAACCATTTGAAAGGGAGATTCATTTTCTAGGGCCTTCATGACACAGCATCAGAGAGCTACAAGCTGCACTGATTTCTGTTCTGGAGGCCGGAAGTCTGAGGTCAAGGAACCTGCCAGCTGCGTTCACTGTGAAGACTCTCCTTGGCTTGTTGACGGCCACCTTCTCATTGTGTCCTCGCACGTTCTTTCCCCGGAAAGAGCCCGACACACTTCCATTAGTGCACCTAAGGGACTTCCAACTTCCCTGGACAGTAGCCCAGAGGAGTTAGCAGAGGGCTGTCCTTGATTCCCTCCACCGATGTGAAACTCACTCACTCCCGAAACGCGAGACCTTAAATTTATCCCAGAGCCCACAGAGAAATTGTAACCTTGAACCAGGAAACTCGCATCACACTAGCCTCTCACTGCTGTGGTCCCACTGCCATCCATCAGGGAGGAGTGGCCCCAACAAGACACCACACAACTGGCCACCCAGCCCTCCTCCTGTGGAAGGAGCAAGTGTTCAGGGACTGGAGCCACACTGGTCTGAATTCTGGCTTGGACATTGTCTATGATGTTGGAAACCCCCATGAATTCCCTAAGCCTCAGTTTTCTCATCTGCAAAACAGACCCGGTGCCTGTGGGTTCTATGGGCCATGGAAGGAGAAGACCCGTCGGGCAGATACCCTCGCCTTCCCTGTACGCACACCTGCCTTTCTGCCCTCCCCTCTCCCTGCCTGGGGTCTCCCCATCCCGGGGTCCCCGCACGGTAGCTCCTCTGTGCTCTCTGCTCACGCCCCAAGTGCACAGCTCCCCAGCGATCTGGCCACCTTTCTGCCTTTTATTCTCTGATACTGTCCGAGTGTTCCAGGGCTCTGCTCCCTGAGGACCCTTTTCATCTCCCCTTCACAGGTGCCCGGCACCAGGATTTGAATTATGGAAAATGAGCACGAGAAGCCGGTGTCAGAATCACCAGCGTCCGAGGGTTTTATTTCCTATCATGTAACCAGGACAGACATCTTAAATAAAGCCAGGAAGAGTTTTGAAAATTCCATCAACAGAGATAGGAAAATTGATTTAGTGTTCAATTAAAGCCCCATATGTCCAAGGCCTACCATTGCCGGGGAGTTTTACAGATGTGCGTTTAACGCATGATCCATGGAGGAGCCACGCGACCTATTTATGTTTATCTGTGAGGACGGGCTGAAAGGAGCTACTTTAAATCAGTGGTTCGATGGCTCCGTCTGGACATTCATGATGAAAGGCCCTGGTGGCTGAGCAGGGTGTGGCCAGGATTCGGCCCATCCACGGGGGAGTGTGGGAACGATCTGTGGGGTTCCCGGAGTTCTGAGGATGGGCCCCTGGGGCTCCCGGTGACTGCCCAGCACCGTGTGCATCCCAGGGCCTCACTGGGAGCACCCCGGGAGGTCGTTCCAGAAATGCCAGGCCAGTGCAGGGGTCAGCAGTTGGTGGACCCCTGGGGGCAGTGCGGAGGACCCC